GCAATTTAACCAGCTGGTGCTCGACGAAACGACTATTTGATCTATGCTGGAGTCATTGCGGTGCCCAGACACTCGCTGCTGCATGAATGTCCTCTGAATGGCCCGTTAAATTACGTAAACTCCGTGTGTACCACCTAGTCGACAAGATGGCCGCTCTCGCTCTCGCCAGGTAAGTCAGCGTAAGAATGAGTACCTCTCCTCGTGGAAGGTAAGTGAGTAAGTAAAATGGCGCTTCTCTCCTCCCTCTTCCCAGTCTCGTTGACACATGTGCAAAGCCATGTAGCGATAAAACAGAGAATTTTTCTCCTAATGATTACTCTATTTCGTGAGACAATAAGGCTGGGTTTGATAATATAAGGAGGTGATGTTATATAGATTCTCATCATATATTAATTATTATGAAGAGAGTTTATATAGACGAGAAGTGGAGGTAGAATTTCATTCATCTATGTTAACTCAGGGATAACAGAGATTACTGTTATCATATGATCTTCAGCTAATAATGCGAATTGATGTGATCACTGGTTTGTATAGCATCAGTCATTAATTCTTAATAAAGAATACTGATATGTAGTGAGTATAGAATTTAATTCTCTGGTATGTAGATATTATTTCCCTTTGCTAAGTGATTGGACACATCCACGTCTTGATGTACAAATATTCGGTAACTTAATTTGCACAGTAGGAAAGTAATTAATATGATTAATCTACAAGTTAGTAATATTAGTAAATTACTATGGTTAATACAAGAATCATTTATCAGAGTATTAAATGAAGAATAAGTGTTGGATATTTCCAACACCAACCTCAACAAACAACATCAACTGCCGTCAACCGCCACTGGCACCAACTACCCATGCCACCAACCACAACAATTAACCACCGCTGCCAACAATGACAATAACTAACTACCACTGCAACAAACCACAACAATAAATCACCAGTTACCATTGAAATCAAGCAACGTCCACTTTCACTAACTACAACCATCAACCACTATTTCCAGCAAGCATAACCATCAACTACCACTACCACAACCCTAAAAGCACTTCAATCAATCACAACCATCAACCACCACTGCCACCTACCACAATTGTCAACTACAACTATGACCAACCACAACCATCAACCACTACACCCATCAACCACCAACAACAACCATCAACTTCCTTCAATCACTACTGTCACCAATCACAACCATTAACCACCAATGCCAACAACCACTTCATTACCCTCAACAATCAACTACCACTACCACCAACTACAACATTCAACAACCACTGCCACCAACCACAACAATAAAACACTACTGCAACAACAAAAATAAATAACCACCATTGCCACCAACCACAGCAATGGACAACAAATGCTACCAACCATAACAGTCAACCAACATTGCCACCAAACGCAACCATCAACCACCATTGCATTCAACCACTCTTCTCACCAACTACAGCAATCAACTACCATCACCACCACTGCCAGCAACCACAAGCATCTACCCCCTGTCACCACCCACCAGACGCAATTATCAACCACAACCACCTACAACTCCTGTCACCACCCATCAAACACAACCAACTACCACAGCCACCAATTGTAACCACCTACCTCACCTGTCACCACGCACAAAAAAACACCACTGTAGTGTGTGGTAGCGCCGCCACACACCAGGCCACTGATGACGGCACGTCATGCAGCAAGATTTTTCCTCCGAACATATTATACACGTAGCTAATTCTCGACACAATGCAGCTATTATGAGAATCCTGATGATAGCACTGAAACAGTACATATTCGGTCATTGTTTTGTTTTTTCACCAGCAACGTAGAAGAGCAGTTTTGTAGAAGAAGCTTCACTTGATTTACCGGAGGGCCACTTACATTGAGAGCAGTAGAGCAACAGAAGTACACTTACATCGCATCAGGCTTGGATACCAATGTGCATGGGAAATAGGCTTACAGGTTCCGGAAGATGAGAGGAAATGTCAGCACTGTAGAGAAATGCCAGACAGACCACTGGAACATTATCTAACACAGTGCACAGTTACAAACCCATTAAGATTTCAACTTAGATTCAACAGAGCAGAAGAAGTTGTTAAACACATATGGCCAAATCTTACTGAAGCGACCATACGAGTCATAAATACTCATACTCCGCCCAAGTAAAACAAACAAGCAACACTTAGTGGGCCAGCCAGAGGCTTAGGGCCCGTGCAGAAATATCCCTGCAAAAAAAAACTAACATTGAATTGGCCTCGACGAAGACAAGAAGCTTAACGGCCTTTCAAAGGTTTCCCCAGTTGTCCTGTTGATTTTTTCAAACTGGATCTTACAATTCGGCAGCGTTTTGCCATTTACGGCTTTGGATGGTAGATGGTTCCATGAGTTTATAACCCTAATTGTGAAAAAACAGTCTCCACATTTCCTGTAGCTATAACATTTGTACTACAGGTTGACTGGAACTGCTTTAGAAATTCCTGTATGAAAATTTGCTCATCTACCCCAGTGAACAACCGTTCTGTCATATACATTCCCATATGCAATAATAGACCATAGTGTTTACCAACCGCCATTAGGCTATATTTTTTGCCGCTTTTAGACCCTAAACACTGGGTTTGTCAACCATATGTTGTGCTACTGAATCTATTTTTACGGAGAGAGCACGGGAAACATCTCCTGTCACGCAGGGTGCACTCGCACCTGGCTCAATAAGGCCATCACTTACGGGCTATTCATGCCCGTGCCACCTTTCTGGTGGCTTAATCTTCATCATCATCATCGAGGGGGGAAAGAGAGAGAGAGAGAGGGTGTTCTGGGTCTCAGACGAGACAGGAGTCTGGGGTCTAGTGTTGGGCATCACTGGGGGAGGGAGACTGACGATCTGGTGTCTATACGGAAGCTTCATCACTGCTGTATCTTGAGTGAGTACTGGTCCCTCATGTTCTAACATCATGAAGTGTTGATAATTCTATTGCCTTGATAGGGAAGATAAATTAGGATTTTTATATTTTACTAATTACATAAATATATAATACTATACTGTCCATCTGGTATATCCATTCGTACCTGTTATTTATTCATAGAGAGTTGCCAGTAAATAGTGGAGAGTCGACCATGTTCTCACCCCCTCCCCCCTCAAGTGATATCTTTAACTCACATCGTTAACTCCCCTATGGCCGATATCCTTCGTCGCCGGTCACTGTAAAGTACTCATGTCCATCAAAGGTGTAGGTGGTGGCATCATTAAGTAGTTTTAAGTAACTAAGTTCAAGTCATAATTTGTAACAACTCGTTTGTTGGTGGTATCAGTGGCGATAGCCCTGTGATGGTGTAAATACGTTATAACAATACATTATAATAACTCCAAACTCGAAATCAAAATTTAAGCTCCACCACCACTTTTTCTTTTAACTGAGAATTAGTTTGTAAAAGCTGGTGGGGATAGTGCTTGTTTCTTCTTGACTGCCATATCAACTAGTAATTTTTTTCATACGAGAATACACAGATGTAGATATTTTTAGAAACCTTTTCATAAAGATTACTGAAATATACACAAATAATAAAATAGAACACATAAACAGCTCACTTATAGTACACCAATATTTAAAATCAAAATTTCTATACACTAGGATTTTGTGGGAGCCTAGAACACATTCTATCAATTCCTGTATATTACACTTACTCTATAAGATGCTCCTCACTTTTGCGACGGCTGTACAGACCACCCAGTTATTGTGTTACATCTACTACCCGTTTCAGTGTTAAAGTCTTTTATAAATGTTGTTGCTTATGTTTAACTCTGTCATGGCCTGGCCCTTGCTATTCAAAGTCATAAGATTGGCTGTGTCCCTAGGCTATTTCTCTGGTCATATAGTTACAATTAATTGGCTTGTTTGTCTAGGTAAGTATGATTGATGTTAGCCTTCTAGATAAGCCAAGGGAAATTGCAACAGGAGTATAGGAACGTCTGAAAACCAACAAAAATATATTTTTAAAAATAAAATACAAATAATAAGGTAAAATATTCAGGAGAAAACTCCCCCTATCCCACAGAACTACGAACATCGGCATATTAGTAATCACTAACCAATGTGGTTTATCTTTTTCAAAGAACACAAGCAATATGGTAAACCTTAATACTCTGGTCCGACATTCATAAATTTATAGAGCAAACACAAATACACCCATAGTTACCAGACACATAAATAAATTAGGAAACTCGGACTCTCTCTCTCTATTTATCCCATTTGGTAGTACCTCAAAATACTTTAGAATCACCTGCTATTTGAATAAATACAAAAATATTGTTTATCTGAATATCTGGTAGAATGTAACCTTCTAAATCAAAGTTGTCAGTAAATGTGTTTTCTCTCTGCCATATCTCGGCGGCGCCTGACTGGTTTACCATGTCACTTGCCCCTTGCTTCCTGATAAATCTCTATATAGTCTCATTTAACCGTACTCCATTTGTAGGTTCTATAAATGAGTCCATTTTTCTTCCCATAAAAGATTCAGATACAATGTACACATACTCCAAAATAAACCTCCAACTCCCAGTATTAGTTTCATTGGAGAGAGACTTCAGCGACAGCGACCTCCCAGCCACCAGCTGACTTCCAGGAAATAAATGTTTACTTTAATAATTTTACATAGTTTTTCTCTCTTTTGGTTAAATAATGATGGCTTGTCTCCACCAAAATATCTATACTGGAGACAAGGACAGTCACACATACCATTGCATTGATAAAACAATTCCAGATACTCCTTGAGAATCTCAAATGCAAATTGAAAGAAGCCTAATGTTGATCTCATTATAGATATATTCACACCATTATTTCATCTTTTAACAAAATTACCTATGTAAGCAGACTGATTTGCATTACAGTAATTCACATTAGTTAAGCGTTAAACCAAGTTTTCTTATTCTCCTATGTAAATAATAGTAGCCTACTGTTAAACTAATTAGGCAAAGATCATGATTTATTTAATATTTTCAGATGATGGAATCACGTTTCTGTAAGATTGCGGCCATAATGACGAACAAAATCGATTGTCCAGAGGACGGCAGAGTTCTGTACTCTTCTCGAGCCTGTGCCCACTCAGACTTTGGTCGTCGAGGTATTTTAATGAAACTTGGAGAGGTGAGAGCCAAATTATATTTAATGTTGTTGAGAAGCTGATGTAGATAGTGGGGGGGATTTTACTCCAAAATATAATATCATTCATAAATTCATGAGGACCATAAAAATTTTCATGGGCTCTGAGACCTGTGATCTATGGATCTTATAATAATAAATTTATTAATTAATTCAAGATGAATTTGAATAAGTGGACTGTAAAGACTACTATTTAAAGTGGATGCATTCCCTTACACATTTTTTTTGGGGGGGTTGGGTGAATTTTATAATGTTAATCTACATATAATATAGACATAATATTTCATAAACACATTAGAAATAATTAATGCATGGATTAGTACACTAACTACTAAATTGATACATTTGGAAGTTTAGCTGCCAAAGTTGAACAGAGAATTCAATGTATGATTCAACGTGGAATCACAGTGATGTACTACATCACATGATTCCACAGGATGAAGTACGCTTTCCATGTAGCTAGCTCCACGCTGAAATATTAATAATATGTAATTTCCACCTAAGAGTATATATTTATACTTTTACTCATGAAATTAGAGTGGATTGGGCATAAGAATTACACTCATGGGAGTTATTAAGTTTGTATGCAGCGTATAAACAGCGTAACGACTAGTCACCAACATAAATATAGAAAAATGGCCAAAATAATATATTAGTAGCACTCAGCTTTGCCGGCCGCGGTGTCCGTATTAAGTTGAAGCTGTCAAATAGATCTGAAGCCCATTAATGCACGGATGCTCCTAAATTTAGATGATAATAAGGATCAGCTTCGTGGCACCAAACAGTTAAGGCGTCTCTGCCAAGTCTCTCTTGCGAGTGCACTGCGCGTCACCTAGTGGCTAATGTTTGAAACTTGGTTAATAATTGGCAATATTTTCTTCTAATTTCTGAATTGATGGAAACATTGTTGACGTTATTTTACATCACAATAACGTACTTTAGGTAACAGCAGATTGTTTCTCACCGTGTGTTACAACCCTTGAGATCTTAGTAAGGTTCTTTTCCCGCAGTGATCAAAGTATACGAAAATCGGCCTTGCCAAATAGTGTCTAGGGTATGAATAAAACACTGCATAAACGGGAAAACAATATAACTACACTAAAGGTGACAAAACATAACATATAAATGGTAAAAATATAAGTCAGAAATATTCTTTAGCAGGCAATAATAATATCAATGAAAATCCTTAGTAAACACAGACCACCGCTTAAAACACATGAATGAATAAATGGTGTAGCAAAATTAGTTATACCAAGAGAATTAACTGAGTAATGAGCTAACTAAACAATATCCTCTGACTTGTTCACATGTCTCCTCTCCCATGCAGCTACCCACGCCTCTGAATAAAACCTCCGGCCTGCACACAGGCGTCCTACCAAAACATCAACTAAGCATCCGCATTCACTCTTGTGAAACTCTACTAACAAAAGTATAGGACTAAGAACTAAATAATTGGTAATCTTAAGAGTATATAATACTGTTACATTACTCACAAGAATTTAAAGGCAAACAATAATAAGAATTAATCAAGGTGTCACTAGATAATCACAGAGTACCTAGGAAGGCAACTGCTATTAATAATTAGCACTGTCAATTTGTACATACATTACAGGGAATTAAAGTTTAAGATCCCGGACAGGCCCCTATTTATTACAATTCTTGAGACCTCATAAAATATAAACGCTAGCTTGACAACAAGCCCACACTCTAGACACATCCAAATATGGTCATCTCCCCACACGGAAGAAACCACACTCCCTCCAACAGGAAATAACTTGCACAAGCCTCATAAAATAATAATGCAACTCAGGCACACTACAGCATGTTACAATATACATCATACAATAGTCTGTAATCATACAATGTCAATCGGATACACAACTGGATACTAGGGAGCCAGTCGGCCGAGCGGACAGCACACTGGACTTGTGATCCTGTGGTCCCGGGTTCGATCCCGGGCGCCGGCGAGAAACAATGGGCAGGGTTTCTTTCACCCTATGCCCCTGTTACCTAGCAGTAAAATAGGTACCTGAGTGTTAGTCAGCTGTCACAGGCTGCTTCCTGGGGGTGGAGGCCTGGTTGAGGACCGGGCCGCAGGGACACTAAAAAGCCCCGAAATCATCTCAAGATAACCTCAAGATATACTAATTATAGAACAGAACAATAAAGTATTATAAGCATCATGATAATCTTAGAATCCATACAAGATTCGCAACATCCCTCCCAGCCCCTAAGAAAAAATTAAATTAACTGAAGGTTGATTTCATTTTTTGATTGCATGAAATATAACATGAAAATACAACATGAAGATACTTCAACAGAAGATCAAAGTAGAAATCAATAAAATTTCACACAGTAAAAAAAAATAAAAAAAATTACATGCATCTTATAAATATAGAACACTACATATTATGGCACTGCAATAGGAAATCCTCTGGATAAGGCATCAGCAATAACATTTTGCCTCCCAGGAATATGACGAATTACAATATTGAATTCATGCAGAATCAATGACCATCTAAGTATTCTCTGGTTTTTACCTTTCAAAGAGTTAATGAATGTCAATGGATTATGATCAGTATATACTACAACTTGATTTCCTGACAAGTGTGTCTCAAACTTCTTAACTGCCAATATCAAACAAAGTGCTTCTTTCTCAACTATCTAATAATTTGTTTGTGTCCTGTCAAGTTTACGCGAGAAATAATATACAGGATGTTCTAACTCATCTGGTCCTACTTGGAACAGAACAGCACCTGCTCCTAGATCTGAAGCGTATATGTGCAGAATAAAAGGTTTATCATACCTTTATCATAGACTGGCTAGCACAGGTGAGGTTGAGTGAATTCCTTTCAACTTCTGAAAAGATTTCTGACACTCCTGCGTCCACTTAAATTTTACCTGTTTCCTTACAAGATTTGTTATACGTGCAGCAGCAATGGAAAAGTTTTTACAATATCTCCTATAATACGCACACATCCCAATAAATCTCTGCACAGACTTTTTATTTGTTAGTACTGGGTAATCCACAATTGCCTGGATCTTGTCTTGCAATGGGACTATCTTACCTTGTCCGACCTCATGTCCTAAGTACACTATGGTTCCTTTAGCCCAACTACATTTCTTCATATTCACAGTCAAATTAGCATGTTGTAACACAGTAAACAATTTCTTTAAACTGGACATATGATCTACCCAACTCTTACTGAAAATCACACTGTCATCCAAATATGCCCTACAATCTGGCACATCCTTCAACAAAGAATTCATTAATTTCTGAAAAGTTGCTGGAGCATTTCTTAATCCAAACGGCATTACATTAAACTCGAAAGCTCCATCAGGAGTGCCCTACAATCTGGCACATCCTTCAACAAAGAACCTGCAAGACCACACATGGAAATGATATCACTCCGTCCCACGGACGATCAAAATTGATTACCACAATGAAATAATATAATTATTACATGGACATCCTCTCAGTCCTTGGCTAATCTATGTATCCTCTGTTCCCGTGTGTACCCACTCACACACACACACTGTACGTCTGTGTACACCAGACTTAAGTCCCTCTGGACTGACAAGATGACAACACAGGTGATTAATCTCCTCGCCCACAATTCACTCCACCTGAACAGGTGCTGCGTGACAATGTGACGGAACACTTGACCTCGAATTCAAGCTTTAGAGACTACTAATCACCAGAAATACACACATAGGTACTTACTCATTCACACTGCCGGCTTTACACACCTTCCCATACATCAGGCACCCTGCTTCCGGTGGCTGGCTCGCTCCGGGTGGCGTAAGCGGCGGTAGTACCTTACGTGGTACTTATACGGAAAATTGGCGCACACTCGAACCCCTCCCACTCAACACGGCTGAGTTCGCACCCACGACCCACCGGTGAAGTGAAGCGTTCATACCCAGGTGACGCGCACAACGATAGCGTCTCACACAACCATGGGAAATTGGCCTTAACACTGACACGAATTTCCCCGTTCCCATCGACTGCTACAGAGCACTAGCAAGTCTAATCAGCACTGGTATGGGATCTACGAGTCTGTTGCTGCTCGTATGCACATTCCCCACGATCCCAGATCACTGTACCTCTACCCCCTGCACAAAAATGTCTTAAACCCCTCCAAGCGACGACTTCGGCCGGATTCTGTGACGACCGTTGTCGTAGGTGAAGCAGGAAGTATCAGCAGTTGAGTAGTCCAGCCACCATGACGCCCTATACTTCAATTTGGCCGAATTGAGTACAGAGAGCGTCTTGACAAGGTGGCAGCTGTGTTCAGAATGATGCTACACCGGCTACTCCCCGCGTCCTTCTCGAAATAACCAATGAGAGGAAGGCATACAGCGGCCTACCCCTCTCGTCCAATCAGCGACGGTGTAGCATAGTCCCTAGGGCTGCTCCAAGATGGCCGACCAACATGGCGGCTCAAGATGTTTCTAAGATGGCGGCTGTTTCCATGACAACGACTCAAGTGGCCAGCGAGCGTGGGAGGCCCACAGCTTACCCCAGCCTGGGCCTAGCTGTTCCCGGGCAAAGTCGACTAGCTCCAAGCTATACAATGAGATGATGCTATCAGCTCTAGCACTGTCCACAGACATGCCACCCCGGCCAGGGTAACATTTATGGACTGCTGATGACTGGGGCTCTCACATGAGCCCAAACACTAGATGTTTCGGTTGCTGGTTACCAAACTTAAGTCCGCCCACTTAACAAGTGCACTTAACAAGTGTACTGGCTCCCACAGGCATAAGAGCACTATTGTAAGTGAGCTGGTGAACCATCCCCTCACACTGGGTGAATCTTCCCAGTTGCTTTCAACATTTTCTTGGGAGTTTGGTGGAACCGCTCGATTCCCCCTTGACTCTGAGGATGGTAAGGACTGGAAAAATTATGCTGAATACCAAATGAATTACAAAAGGTTTTAAATGTGGTGGAACAAAAATTGCTCCCATTATCAGTTTGAATT